TTTGTATCAAGAATACTTTGACACTGGAACATTCTGTATCTGATGTCACCCATTTTTATAAAAACTGACACCCGAGTGTTTCCGTGTTTAAGGCGTCGCTAGTTAAAATAGTTTATTCTGTAGCGAGAAAACCTCTTACAAACTAAGTACATAAGTTTGATACTTAAAGTGAATACAAAAAATGTCACATGTATCAAAATTAGTTGGAATGTTTTAGAAACAAACGTGAAATAGCATGTACATTAGGTACATTGACTACAATCGAGTAGGTATAAATATGTATCTGTGTATTCGGGTGTATATGTGCATAAATTTTCACGGATTTATCCGTGCATTATTTCACGTGATTCCAGCGGGAGGCGACCGTCCCAATTCAAAATTACGATCATCAATTCCGCGTCCCGTATCCCGAACCGAAACCGTACGGGCGAATTCAATACAGGCCTTTGTTTTCGGGGGGATAAACGCGCGTTTTCGTTTTTCTCGGTCCCTTTTCCCGGTTGTTTTTGGTCCTTTTTTTTTTCGTTCGACGTCATCCCTCGGCAATTTATGAACCGGAATTAATCTTCGGCATGCGTGCCGGCCGGCCCGCCGATGTGCCGTTTAACTTTTTAATTTTTATAGTGATTAAACGTCGGATAGCGTTTTTCATAAAAAAATGTTGGACGGCCGTTCTTTTTTTGCGGTCGAACGAGTTTGGATGATGGTTGTCGGGTTGCGAGTAGATATGGCGGATGGAGGAATATCTGCCGTGATTATTGTGTGTCAATGGCGTTGTGTTGTGCCATGTCAATATACGGGATGTCCCATTAGTGAAGTTGCTTGATATCAATTATATGTAATTTCAGCAAAGCATTTGAGATACTTATTATAGTTTTTACAACCATGTGAATTAACAAATATCTCCAAGTCAGTACGAATTATTAAAAGGTTGTTCAACTGTTACCAACCAAAAAAATGTCACACAAAAATTATAACAGGAACACTCAAAAGGATATTATTTATACAGATTTTTCAAAAGCCTTTGATCGGCTCCTAAACTTTCTTCTTACGGACTCTCACCTTCTTTTCGTTCACTATTCCAATAGAAAACAATTAAAATCTGTAGAATACCTAGCTCCTTAGCTCCTAGCAACTTAGAGCCTATTTTATTTAACATATTTATGAACGATATTACAAATATAATCCGGGTTAACTGTCTTTTATATGCATACGACATAAAGTTATTCTGTAAAATTGCGAAAGTTGACGACTGCGTTCGGTTGTCTAATACCCTAAATAGTACAGTGATGCATTGGTAACAAATTACCTCTTAATCCAGATAAATACAATGTTGTGTTTGACAAAAAAACTTAATTTTATAACTCATATAGAAAATATTGTAACTGCAGCAAATCGAGTCTATGGCATCGTAATACGTAATGTAGACATGTTTAATATAATTCGACATTAAAATCCTTATGTGGCTAGACTGAAACAGAAGTGATCCAAATAGCATATTTTAAATTTTAAGATAATTAAGAAAATATTTTTTTTTTAATTAAATTTTTACCTGCAAAAATGTCCAAGCTAGTCGTATTAAGCGTGATTGGTAATCATAAGTATAATCTCTTAGTAAATATTTGTTAACGTTTAATTGGATCACATCTGATTTAAAAAAACAAAAAACAAATTTGGGGTTCAAGAAGTACCAACTTTATTATTTTAGTGGAAAAATAAGACAAAAACTTAAAATTGTAGAACAAAATAAACTAAACAAATATTTTTTCTGAATTAATTATTAAACAAATATTTTTCTTAATTTTCATCTTCTTCATTTTCATCACCCAATAGATTTGGCAGAATGTTAATGTCCTCTTCTTGCATAGCATGACCTCTTCGGTTAATATGTGACAAATTTAGATAAAATTGGTGATAAATGGGTGGTACATATTTTAGCATTTTTTTAAGATCCTGCATTTTAGCATGAATTATGGGTTTTGCGTTATCTTTTGCTGCTGTTGGTTTAAACGAATGTAATGTTTTGGTATTGCCTGATTTGTTTAACTCCAAACTATCGTAAACACCAAAGTAGTCGCTATTAAAGTAAAGTTTACTATCATCTTTCACAAATCTGACTTTCCGAATCTTTGAGATTAGCACACGGTTACCATTGGTCACCTTTACCCATAATTTTTAACAGATCTTTAAAGTCAATAAATTTTCCCACCATATTATTAACAATGTTAATAATTAATTAACAATTAACATGTTATGCGGACGGCAAGTACAGGCACAAATGTTCAGTAAAACCATGCAGATGAATATCCACAGGGGGTGCCCACAGAGTGGAGTCCTTTCTCCTCTATTGTGGAACCTAGTGGCAGATGAACTGCTGAAAACACTAAACAATCAAGGCCTGTACGCCCAAGGATATGCCGATGACATAGTCATCCTTATCCGAGGGAAACACCAAACCACAGTCTTTGAACTCATGCAAAGAGCTCTTCGGCTGACAGAAATGTGGTGCGTTAGGGAAAACCTCTTGGTAAACCCAGACAAGACACAACTCATAACCTTTACTCGGAAAACAAGATTGGAGGTTTTAGAAACTCCGACTGTTTGGAGGAAGGCTAAACAAAACGAACCAAGTAAAATATCTGGGTCTGATCCTAGATAGGAAAATTACTTGGAACCAACACTTACAAAAAGTGACCAACAAATGTAAAATGTCTCTCATAGTAGGGAGACGGGAATTTGGAAAAACATGGGGATTAAAACCAAAAATGGTCCACTGGCTATATTTGGGAATAACAAGACCCATGATAACTTATGGAGCGGATGTTTGGTGGCCAAAAGAAAACCAAAAAACAGCCCTCAATACCCTCTCAGGAGTACAGAGGCTGGCATGCCTTTGTATTACAGGAGCTGGCATGCCTTTGTATTACAGGAGCTGACATGCCTTTGTATTACAGGAGCACTGAGAAGTACACCGACAGCCTCTATGGAAATCATTCTAAACCTCCCAGCCCTTAACCTAGTATAAAGGGGGAGGCCAGAATGAGTGCATACAGACTGGAAATTTTCAACAACTGGAACCCACTGGGACATATCAAACATACCAGAATAACACATGAAGTAAATGATTCTATATTAAATATTGAATCAGATCACATGACACTCCTCCTAACCTTTAACAGACTCTTCCAGGTCAACTGTAACTGGAACGAGGTAAATAAGGAGATAGATAAATACTTACTTAGCGGTCTCGTATAGTATACGGATGGATCTAAAACTAACAAGGGAAGAGGCTCTGGCGTACATGGAGTTAAACCCAAATGCGACATCATCGTCTCACTGGGAAAACATGCCACTGTATTTCAGGCTGAAATACATGCAATCGAATTGTGTGTACGAGAGAATTTAAGAAGGAAGTACAAAAAACAAACCATCCTAATTCTCTCAGATAGCCAAGCAGCCTTAAAGGCTCTTGATTCAAACATAATCAAGTCAAAGCTTGTCTGGAACTGCCTTGGAATATTAAATGATCTGGCAACCCACAACAAGGTAAAACTAGCATGGGTACCAGGGCACAAAGGTATCCAAGGAAATGAAAAGGCTGATGAACTCGCCAAAGAGGGATCAGATCTACCATTCACAGGACCCGAACCTATATTTGTGATAAACAAAACCTCTTCTCGACAGGCGGTGAACAGGTGGATAACCACAAAACACCAAATTCACTGGCAACATAAGAGGGCACAGAATCAGTAAGCTCATGCTAAGGGGACCAAACCCTCGCATGGCTACTGAGGCACTACAACTCGCAAGGCCTCAGATATCCACCATTGTAGGGATTACTAACGGGGCACTGCTTTCTGAAACACCTTCATGTGATGGGATTACACAATGATCCCACTACGTGTAGACTTTGAATGGAAGAGGAAAAAACCTCATACCATGTTATCTTCGAATTCGAAGCTCTTACTAGGCGACGTTTCATCCTTTTCGGCCTAGAACCGGAAAGGACGCCCCAGGAACACTTTGTAGGGAATCTATTAAAACTAACCAAAGACACGGGACTATTCCAAAGATAGTACCTGAGTACGGGGAAAGCAGGGGAATGCAATAGACACAAGAGGCCGCAGTGTTCTGGGCCAAACCTAACCCTACCTGCTTACAACCGATAAAGATTAACAATGAATGTATTTTTTTCCTGAAATTTTCCACCAGTGACATCCATTCCTCTGGACTATACACAAATTCCTTTTTCTTCTGGGCTTTTGTAATATCTGAGAAGTCGGAGTCATTTGGTAGAAATGAGTGTCCACTTACAAGGTAACAAACGATTATTTCCGTTATAGCTGGATTAGAACAATTCAATACATACATTATAAAATGAAACATATTCCAATTCCTATTTTGACCAGAGCATAAATCACTAAAAGTATAAAGAGTGTTTGTGGGATCCTCTACCTCCAGTTGTCTCATACCACATATTCATTACTATTCTTTCTCCAATTGGTAAATAAATATGCGCCGTTTCGTTTTGAATTTGAACACGAAAAATATCACATGCCTTACATGTATCTTTTTTAGGAATGTAAAAATATATTTGATATGTGCGAAATATGATCTCATAGTAACTTTTTTTGGCCGGTTGTTTACCCATTTCTAGGCATTTGTCTCTATAAAGTGTGTATATTTTCTGCAAATTTAAGTCTGGTGCTAAATATTGGCGAGAAAAAGTTCGATCACCATAATGGCTCATGTACCGAGGAAACTCTCGATGTGAAGGTTAATAGTCTTTTACTTCGTCTTTTATTTTATTGCCTGATGTTCCTTTGCCTCTTTTATCTGGTATTGGCATTGAATCTGAATTTCTTTTTTATTTAAAGCATAATCTAGCCTTTTGTTTGATATCTGAAGTACCTTTAGAAGAAATGACTTCATACTTGAGAGTCTTGAAGAAAAAATAGTCGGCTATGTTGTTTATAACTGGGTGTGTGGTATCTTTTTTTTTATCGTTTTGGAGCTATTAACTTTACAGTTGTACAGATCCAGGCAGTCTGACCATTCCAGTCTAAGTCATAAAATTGGGAATGAATTGTATTTTGTTTTTTCGGCAGCACACTATTACTGCATTTTCTGCAAATAATTGGCGTAAACGTTTTCGCTGCAACATGGTTTCCTCTATAATTGATATATTCTTCACCTCGATTCCTTTTGGTCTTTATGACATTTCTTTTCCATTTGCTCTCATCACGACGTTTTCGTTTTAAAATTTCATTTGTTTGTCCCTTATTTTCTGCAAGGGCGTCCTCTCCTTCCACCTCAATTTCAATGTTTTCATAATTTTCGGAAGAACTAGATTCCTCTTGGTCGGCATGATAAGAATCGGCACTATCAGCGTACGGATCTAACTCTGAAAATGATGCATTTTCTTGTTTGGAAGACAGTAGTAGGGCTATTTACGGAAGTGAAGGGTTGCGCAGAAAAATTTTCGGTATTGGCACTGCATTCAGGCTTTTGTCCTGCAAAAAAATGGTGTGCTTTACTTGTACCATAATCACATTCACTAAACAGGTTTATAAGATAAGTAGAAAATAGGTTAATAATTTTAACTGATTGGACGAAAAAATATCAAAAAGCATTATTATGAATATCGCAAAAAATCCAAGAGCAAAGAATGTGAAAAAGAGAAGATACCGTATAAATCGATATTTTTTGCCTAAGTAAATTAACTACCTACTATTTTTCTTGTCGCTGGATCAAAAGTGATCCATCTGACATTTCACGCTCCAACTTTTACAAAAATAACCTCAAAAGCATAAGTGATCTAAGTAACACTTTTGTAGTTCTAACCATCCTAATTTTAAGTTATGAGCAAGAGCAGAACTGATCTATGTGTTAAAAAATGTAAATAAAACATTGCTATGGTATGATGTCTTCTGATTTTAATATCATTTTTCTGTCCACTTCTTACTGCAACTATATATAAATTTACCTTAATATTAATATCTATTGTTATTTACTTTCATTTTTTTCTCTTTGAACCTAAATAAAAAATTAAAACTTACCTATATATGCATTATTAGTCTCTTTATCGCCATTTTGTTGTTCATTTATGTGTTGATCATTTTACAATGCAGCTTGAACAATTCTTTGACAACGAGAAAGCGACAGTATTACCACTTATTACTTTAATTCCAAAAATAAACGAAGAAATTCGCAAGGGTTGCTTAATGCTTTGCTTTAATTGCTAAGGAACAGCTTATCCGAAAGACAGTTGACACTATTGGCAAATTAGGTGCGAGTGCGTTCAAAAATTAACCGGGTATTAAAAAGAATACCTTCCAAAACACATTATTTATAAAAAAACTTAATGGATTTAAAAACTTAATAGATGTGTGTTTATTAAAGAAAGTGTTGCGTAATATTATGTATTAAAAGCAATCCAAATGACATCATTCAAGTGGATCGATAGTATACTAATAAAATGATATATGTAGCATTCTATGAACTGGATCAGTTCTGTAAAAAGAGTTTAGATAAAATATAAAAATGCAGAAGTGAATTTTATAAAACTCTAAGTAGTGAAGGAACTAAGTAATATAGATTCCTTCTGCACTGGGTAAAATACAAATTTTAAAGTTTAAAAATGGTGCAATCTCAATTTTAGCAAAAATGTTATTTGGATCTCTTCTGTTTCAGTCTTGTAATACATTGTCCGTTCTAATTTAGAGTATCCCTTTTACTCGGTATACATTAATACTGTTGAATAAGTCCAAAGACGCTTTTTAAAGAAATTATCATTCGTAAACGATGACATAAATATATCCTCCCAGAGATACTGCACGTCGAGAATGCTATACTGTCATCTTTACATACAAGTTACCCTGTACATTTAAGAATAATTTGAAAATATGGCACTACAACTTTTTTATTCAAAATTTCCTCGTATCTCCAATAATAAAACGGCTATCCACACTAGGTAAATGAAATCAGTGTTCATAATTACTTTAATAACATTAGGCTGAGTGCGTTCGGCTAAAAGCTTTTGTCGTTTCTGTGAATGTATCTATATGACGAAGACTTTGATGATGGTTTTTAGCTGAAAGCGCTCAGCGTAATATTAAAGTAATTTTACGCACTGAATTATTATTCGTTCATTTCATTTAGCTACACAGAATAGTGATCCTATGGACTGCGCCAACTGGAAACGTTTTTACCAAACGCGACAAAGGAAAATGATTCCACTGGCTGCGCCACTGGAGACGACCGTAACAATATCCGAACAAGTAACTGTGACAAAAGTCACAATTGGGTGTATCTGGAGATGTGTCGCTGGATGAGCACGTCTGTCGTGTTTTTCATTACTGCGGAAATCTTCGTAATTAGACACTATAAGGACAGCAGGATGGAAGCGAACGAGGGAAAGCTTTTACGAGTCATAATAATAGAGGTGGACTTGTCGGTTTTGACATTTAGCGCTACCGATATTAAATAGTTTTACGATTTTGAAAAGAGTATCGTTTATCTACATTAAAACTATTTCCATTATTATTCTTCTCATATTCTAAAAATATTTATAAAAGCATAGTCTTCACATAGAATAATATACATTTTGTTATTATTAATTAAAAAAACATGATTAATCAAGAAATTCGGATAATAAAGTGAATATCGTTAAAATCATTAGGATTAGATGACTTTACTAAAATTCAAATTTAACGGACAAATACACTTTTTCGTTTAGACAATTTACGAGTAACAGAAAAATTAACATACGAAATCTGTTAAATATAATGGTGGTTACCATACAAAAAAACATACCTTTAACCTTATTCATAACTGTATATAGATGACAGAACTCTTCATTACATCAGTGAATACCTACCTTGAGGATATTATCAACTGAGGAGTCTACGAGGACTCAATCAACTGTGGGCTCAACCAACTGAGGACTCAACCAACTGAGGACTCAATCAATTGAGGACACAACAAACTGAGGACTCAACCAACTGATGACCCAATCAACTGAGAACTGAAAAACATTTCAATATATCTCAAATTCAAATTAATAAAATATTAACCAGAATCTTTTACTTTTAAAGGTCAGACAATTTTGAAAGATCTCGTGGGACAAAGACACGTTTGGATGACTATATCCAGGAATACCTGTATCTGCTTGGTCTGAGCAAGTCCAAGCTACGCATGTTAATGGAATATCTTAGGAAGAAAGTGATTGCACATTTTGCATGTGACCCTACATATTCCAAGGTCACTACAAAATTGAGTACACCAGCAATGGTAAAGAAAACATGATGTATATCTACCATCAAGACAAATGAAAAGATGCTAGAAGTTATAAACAAATTAACTAGACTTGGTTCTCTTATACTGTTGGTAGGCTATTAAATTCCTTAAGAACGAGTAGGTATCAGATAAAACTTGATATACGTTTGGAGTATTGTAACAGTAATTGAGAATATAAGAAGCAAAAGGAAACTGAAATAAAAAGCAATTATTTCTAAGATACTTTAAACAATGAAATTAAAAAAAAAAACGTTACAATAGAGAAAATTAAAACTGCATTTCTGATTACCTGTCATACAAATACAAGATGAGTGACCAATAATACGAAATTATCTCTTTTTTAAAGCACTTTATTGAACAGCTAAACAATTAGTTTTTAATATGACATAACTGCGGCCAAACCTACGCATTCAAGATACAGTACAAACAATAGATTTTCTTCAAAGGTGGTGAATATCATGTACGCCACGAATTCAAACCGCATTCCAGTATATATTTTATCTCTTGCATCGCAGCATTTCTCTTGACCACTCAATTCAAAAATAATTTCTATTAAAATTTCTCTCGCCATTCTACAATTGGTGGGGAGCGTTTCGCTCAGCGTTTAACTACAAATACAAGAACAGAGGAGTTATCCACTCCATCTTTGTGTACACATCGTTTCGTCTCTCGCTACAATCGTAACTCAACTTTCAAACTTCGAACAGTCAACTCACATCGTTCTCATCACTCCAATTTTAAGCTTCAAACAGTCAACATTCCTCGGAGTCGGTTTATATAATTTTCGACACGATATTATTCTCTCCAACCAACTCTCTTCGTTTCTTTGTTTTGGAATCTGATCAATCTCTGTGTTTGTGTTACAAGCTGTACCCCAGAGTTGAATTTCATAGCAGCACATCGTCACAGTTTATAGCTAAAGAATCAGTTCGCTCACTCTGTGTCGGCACTTTTGATCTCAATGTTCCAGTTTATGCACTGCGCAACTCGGATTTGTATCCCTGGCGCATGCAGAATCAAATCATAACCAATGCAATGTATGACAACCGCCTATATTCAAACATCATTCTTCTGCGCATCCAGAATTTGTATCCCTGGAGTGGATTTTATTTTGGAACGTCCAACTGGTCTGAGTGACCTAACTGATTCTTTAGCAATAAACTGTGACATCGTATTGTTTTATAAGGCATAATTTAAATTTCCAATGACATTTGTGACCTTCGACTAATGTTTCATTTGTTTCACTTTCGATACCGCTTTGAGAAAATGAAACATTTGAATTCTATTAGTCATTTAAATATATCATAATATAAAATTACAGTAGAAAATAAATGTTGTAGCAATCAAGTTTGGATTTCCGCCCACCTCTAGTTAGGTCCACAGCGCACATTGCAATTTTTAAAGTAGTCTGTGATGGGGATGTCAAGAGCGTAGGATACAGAGGTTGAAAACAAAGTGGGTTATAAGTTGCGGTTAGAGAGTTAGTGAGCGAACTAATCTAAGAAGGCTTTGTTCTGAGGTCTGCGACGCTTTTTAGCTTATAGTAACCTGATGATGAGGCTACTTCCATTTTACGCGTCTGGACTATACTAGATTGCGTTTAGTCATAGGAGGAGGACATCCATTTTTTTTCTTATCAAAACGTTTATAATAACATAAATAAAAAGATTAATAGTCATATTCTAGTGGGAGATCTAAATATTAATAAATTAAGTAAATCAAAATGTTAATCCTTATTTCTCTGATAGACTTTGTAACCAGTGAAATAAAAAGAGCTTGAGTCAACTATAAACCAAAAATATTTAAAAAAGAAAATACTGAATTTCAATGGTGTTACTACAAGGAAAATAATTATACATATTAACGAATGTGCTGAACAGTTAATTGCTACATTAAATTCATTTATTAAAAATAAAATTAAAAGAAAACAATGGGCTGATAAATTCTTTAAGTAAAAAGAAATAAAGTTAATGTAGAATATAACAAAAAAAACTGAAAACGTACAATAAAAAAAAATATAGAAACATCTATACAAGTTAATTTAATTGTAAGAAGTTGAAAGTAAATTAAATTGAAAATAATTGAATTCCAAACAACTGTAGGCCA